ATCTTCTACAGGTGTATCATGCTTTAATCTTCATACACTTAGGTCTCCCCAATCCTGCCAACTCTCTTTTTCCATCATGTCCTGTGTATGGGGAGGTGTCAGGATGCTTCTCAAGTAATTTCTGTTAAAGGAAAAAGGAAGGGGCCCAGCACCCTTCTACCCTGCCTCTTTTGTTCCACTCTACAGGGCTGTCTTTGCAACTTCTAGAGAGTGACTCCATTTGTGGATTCTCTAGCATGTAGATCTAAAGTCAAGACTTTATATACCATTGATCCCATTATTTTAAGTAGTTTCTCTACTATTAACATATTACATTACTAGGGTATATTTGTTACAATAAGTGAACCAATGGTGATACATCATTATTAACTAAAGTCCGCACTTTATTCAGATTTCTTTAGTTTTTATCTGATGTCCTTTTTCTGTTCCAGGATTCCACCTAGGATACTACATTATATTTAGCCATCATGTCTCCTTAGGCTCCTCTTGGCTGAAGCAGTTTCTCTGACTTTCCTTGTTTTCATAACCTCAACAGTTTTTTTTTTTTTTTTTTTGCGGTATGTGGGCCTCTCACTGTCGTGGCCTCTCCCGTTGCAGAGCACAGGCTCCAGACGCGCAGGCTCAGCGGCCATGGCTCACGGGACCAGCCGCTCCGCGGCATGTGGGATCTTCCCGGACCGGGGCACGAACCCGTGTCCCCTGCATCGGCAGGCGGACTCTCAACCACTGCGCCACCAGGGAAGCCCCACCTCAACAGTTTTGAGAAGTACTGGTCAGGGATTTTGTGGAATGTCCCCCTGTTGAGATTTTCTTGATGTTTTTCTCATGCTTAGACTGCAAAGGGAGGAAGATCACAGAGGTAAAGCACCATTTCATCATATATCAAGGGTCCATGCTATCAACATGACTTATCAGTGTTGATATTGACATTGGTCATCTGTCTAAGGTAGTGTTGGTCCATGTTTCTCCACTGTAAAGTTACTATTTCCCCATTTCTTTCCATACTATTCACTTTGGAAATCGCTAGGCATAGCATACATGTAAGGACTGAGAAGTTAGGCTCTCCATTTCTGAGGGCTGAGTATCTATTGATTTTTAAACTATTTGTTATTTGTTGCTCTAGGATTTAGACAATCTCTCTCTATCATAATTTCCTTCAGATTAATACTAACTTAATTCCAGTGATATACAGAAAATTTGCTCCACTCTGCCCACTTTTGTGCTACTATTTAATATATATTTTGTCTATGTATGTTAAAACCCAACAGTACAGTGTTATAATTGTTGCTTTATATAATTTTATGTCCTTTTGGCTGCACCACGGGGCACGTGGGATCTTAGTTCTCCGACCAGGAATCGAACCCATGCCCCCGGCATAGTGGAAGTGCCGAGTCTTAACCACTGGACCACCAGGGAAGTCCCTAATTTTATGTTTTTTGAAGAAACCAAGAGAAGAAAGGATGCACACAAATAAACTTAAAAAAAACCCCAAACATTTATCATTTCTGGTACACTTCAGTTCTTCCTGTGGTTTCAAGTTACCACCTGTTGTCACATCCTTACTCCCCTAGAACTTCTTTCTTTCTCCCTTCCTTTGCACTGTAAAATATATTATACCTCTATATGTTATAGGCCCAACACTTCAATCTTTAAAAACAGATTTATGGAGATATAGTTCACACACCACACAATTCACCCATTTAGAGTATAAAATTCAATGGTTTCGGTATATTTACAGACATGTGCAGCAATCTCCACAGTCAACATCAGAACATTTTCATCACCTCAGAAAGACATTTGATATCCTTTAGCCATAATCCCCTTATTTCCTCATCTCCTCCTCCAACCCTAAGCAACCACTAGTCTACTCTTTGTCTCTGCAGAATTGTCTATACTGGACAGTTCATATAAATTGAATCATGTGATACATAGTCTTTTGTGACTGGCTTCATTTACTTAGCATGTTTTCAAGCGTCATCTATGTTGTGTTGTGTATTTCATTCTGTTTTATGGCCGAATAATATTCCATTACATAGATATACCACATTTTGCTATTCATTCATCAGCTGGTGGACATTTAGGTGGTTTATACCTTTTAGTTATTGTGAAGAGTAGTGCTTTGAGCATTTGTGTACAAGGTTTTACATGAACATATGTTTTCTTTCCTCTTGGGTATATACATAGGAGTGGAGTTGTTGGGTGCTATGGTAACTCTATGGTTGGTCATTTGAGGAACTTGCAGAGTGTTTTCCAAAGTGGCTGCATCATTTTACATTCCCACCAGCAAGCAATGCATGTTGCCTACAAGAAACTCACTTAAATATAAAGACACAGATTAAAAGATAATTCCTCCCTCCCATCCCTATGACATTGCTGTCATTCCTTTCACTTACCCATAGGCTGTAATCAACCAATATACTGCCATTATTTTGAACAAACTTATTATTTAGATCAATTAAGACTAAGGAAAATAAAAAATTGTATTTTGCCTTAATTTATTCCTTCTCCAACACTCTTCCTTCCCTTATGGAGCTCTTGAGTTTCTTTTCTTTTCTTTTCTTTTCTATATTTATTTTTGGCTGCCTTGGGTCATCATTGCTGCGTGCCGGCTTTCTCTAGTTGTGGCGAGCTGGGGCTACTCTTTGTTGCGGTGCCCGTGTTTCTCATTGCCGTGGCTTCTCTTGTTGCAGAGCAAGGGCTCTAGGCACACGGGCTTCAGAAGTTGTGGTTCATGGGCTCTAGGGTGCAGGCTCAGTAGTTGTGGCGCACGGGCTTAGTTGCTCTGCGGCATGTGGGATCTTCCTGGACCAGGGATCGGACCCGTGTCCCCTGCATTGGCAGGTGGATTCTTAACCACTGTGCTACCAGGGAAGTCCCGAGATCTTGAGTTTCTGACCTATATCATTTTCCTTCTTTCTGGGAAGATATTTTAACCTTTCTTGCAAGACAGGTCTACTGGCACCTCAAATTTTATTTGAGAGAGCATTTCTCCTTAAACTTTTGAAGGGTCTGGTATCTTTTTTCTGACACGACTCCTGATGCCAGATGTGCAGGTTTTTTCTACACTAATTCTCCAACACCAATTTTATGTTTACCTGGCTAGCAGTTTGGCCGAGTTTTTTGTTTGCTGTAGCTGTAGATGTGAGAGGTAAAATTTCCTCCAGTGTCCTTATTTTTGTCTCCTGTGTTATCTTTAGTTTTCTCTAAACACTTCTGCTCAAATAGCATCTGAGCTTTGCAGTTATTTTAGCTGTAACCCACTGTTATTATACAGGTTGACTGATGTGATGGTAAGATGTGGAGGGAGGATAGCATTCTATAATCCTATAATTAGGCGCCAGTCTTTTAGTGAGGCTGTGATTTGAGGCTGTGACTTTTACAAGTGTTCTTAGCTTCTCCTACCCCCCAGGTGAGACATGAAGGTTAAAGGGGGCCCGTGTTGGATATTTCTTTTCCTCCATGTCAAAGACTAGAGAGGGGCGGAGTGGAATATTTTCCTTCCCTCAAGTTAAAATAGTTTCTTTTGATGCAAGCCCCTTCTTAAAAATAGTTCTTCCCTTAGGCTCTAGTGAAAACAGTTTCTTTGGATGCAAGTCCTATCTTAAAAAGAACAGAATCCTCTGGGTTTATTTCAAAATGGTTACATTTTTGCTCCCTCTGTCAGAGGCAGGAAGGAACTTTTTTCTGATTGTTACCTGAAGAACTTGGTGGGGGGGGTTCCTGGAGATGACTCATGAAAGTGTGGAGGTCCCCCTAAGACTGAACCCTCAGAGTTTTTAACTCTCAGTCTACTTCACACTGAGTTTCCAGCCATTCATCAATTACAATCTAAGTGTTCCTATCTATACTGGCTCCTCTGGTGAGCTTGTTCCTAGTAACCTCTCAGTATCTTCCATTTTCTCTAGTTTTCAGGGAAGGAGTTTGTCCTGTAACCTAAATTCTCTATAGGAAGTGAGAAGAACTGTTGATTTCCAACTTGTTCAGATTTTTTTTTTCTGGTTGTGAAGATGATGGTGACAAATTCTAAGATTTTTCTGTCAGATAAGAAACCAGAAGTCTGCTCAGTTCATTTTACTTCATTCTTTTTTTCTCTCTGTTCTCAGATCGTATCATCTCTAATGATCTATTTTCAAATCCACTCATTCTTCTGCCAACTTAAATCTACTGTTGATCCCCTACAGTGAATCTTTATTTCAGGTATTGTACTTCTCAACTCCAGAATTCGTTTGGTTCTTTCAAATAATTTTATCTATTGACATTCTCTATTCATGAGCTACTTTCATGAACATAGTTTCCTTTAGCTTTTGAACATATTTATAATAGCTTTTTTGGGAGTTTTTGCCTTAAAAGTTTAACATTTGGGCCTCCTCAAAGGTAGTTTCTATTGCCACTGTTTTTCCTGTACAAGGGATATACTATTCTGTTTCTTTGCATCTCTCATAGTTTTTGAGATACTATATTGTAGGAACTTTGGGTTCTGATACATCCCCTTCAGGGCTTGTGAATTTGCTGTTTTATTTTGTTAGTTTTTTAAAGTACCTTGCCTGGACTAATCTTGTGACATCTATTTTCCTCCACCGTGTATAATCTCTGATGTTACTGCTCAGTTCCCCCATCTCCCACCCCAAGCCTGGCTTCCAAGAAGTCACCCCTGGGCCCAAATTATTGTAATGTTCAGCCAGTGATTGGTCAGAGGTGTCCCTAAGTTCCTTGAGCCAGTAAAGCTTCCACTCTCTGCTAATGGATCTGTGTGTGACTTAGAGAATTCTTTCAAGTCTGGCCTATGTTCAGTTAGTGACTATACCTTTCAAGTGCCTGCTCCGGTTGGTTCTGAGTGTGAAACCTAGATGTGTGCACAGCCTTCCAGACAGGGATAACTGTGATCTTCCAGGGCACTTTTTAAGCTATTTCTCTGGTTCCCTCTGTTAAACTTTCGGGTGGCCTGCTATTTCATTTGTTGCTACTTATTTTATGGAATAGAATTCTAATTGCTTGCCACTAAGATCTCTGTTTTCAACAATGTCTGAAGTCAAGCATTCCTTCACACTGTGTACTAAATAAAGTCAGGTCCCTCTGTGGAGCTCTGGAGCTTCCAGTCCTTCCTCTTGCCTGGACAGATGTCTACACTATTGCATTGGAGCTGAGGAAGCTTCTCGGTTTCTCCTCTTGGCATGGAAACTCCTCCCTGCAAGTGGGATTTGGGAGGAGAAATGGAAGCCCGAGGTCTTTTTGATTTACTCCTCCCCGTATGGAACCTCTGCTCTATAAATGGGAGTTTGGAAAATAGCCTGCTGTCCTTTCAGCTTTCGGTCCCCCATCACCCCCTGGCGTGGAACATTTGCCCTACAAACATAAAGCCTGGAGGGGGGTGGATCAGGGCCCCAGTATTCTTGGCCTACCTTGTCTTGGGTAGAGCTACTGTATAAGAAACAGCTAGGCTGGGAACGGGAGCCCAAGTCTTCTCAGTTGGAGCTGACTACAATTGAGCTCCTGTAACATGGAGCTGGGGCGGGCAGATCCCACATGCCGCGGAGCAGTTGGGCCTGCGTGGCCGGAGCCTGTGCTCCGCAACAGGAGAGGCCACGACAGTGAGAGGCCTACATACTGCAAAAAAAAAAAAGGGGGGGGGGGTAATTTAGTCACCAAAAACAACTATTTAAATTGTAGTGAGTGTTGTAAGAGGCCATGGCTACTTTCTTTTGCTCACTCTCATATGATATCTATCTCATATATACTTTATGTAAATAACAATACATTTACATACTCTTATCACTGATCAAGAGGTAGCAGGAGTCTTATATATGCCAACAAACAACAGGAAAAAAGTTTATTTTATACTTTAGAATTCTTATTTAGGATGCCCTATGTTTTGTTACAATTCATACTTTGTTAAAAGAAAAAATAGGGAATTCCCTGGTGGTCCAATGGTTAGGACTCTGCACTTTCACTGCCATGGCCTGGGTTCAATCTCTGGTTGGGGAACAAAGATCCTGCAAGCTGTGCAGCACAGCCAAAAAATAAAAAAAAATTTTAAATTTAAAAAAAGAAAAAATAGTATTATTTAATGTGGAAAATAATTGGTAATGGCATTCTACATATATAATGCTTATTTTATGTTCGTAATTGTTAGCGTCACATAAGCAATTCCAATACCTATATGATTTACGTTATGTGGTGCATAATGTAATGTAGAACAGTTTGGAATATAATGCTTTCATATTTTGCAGACTGTCCATATATGATTTTCTAATTTTGTTTTGACTAGCCCACTTATTAATATTTCAAAAGTCTTTGTAGTCCACAGTAAGCATGTATCCTTTAACAAGGAGGTGTACTTTCTGTAATATCTTCTAGACATACTTTGGCATCACATCTGAAATATGATTTCTACAGAAACATAGCTATATACTTTTCTAAATTTGTTGAATTAATAGGCTTCTTCTTAAGACTTCTTGATACATAATAAGGTTTGATTTCTAATGAAGGCTTTCTGTCACTGTAATTTTTAGTTGAAGATATTCCCACATTAGTTTCTCTTTTAAGAAACTTTTTCTTTATGAGTCCTCTTATGGCGACAGAGGGCTGAGCTATGTCTGAAGGCTTTCCCACATTGATTGCATTCATAGGGTTTTTCTTCTGTGTGAGTTCTGTGATGTATAATGAGGTCAGACTTCTCAGAAAAGGCTTTTTTACACACATTACATTCATAAGGTTTCTCCCCAGTATGGATTTTCTTATGTCTAATAAGGCAGGACACTTCACTGAAAGCTCTCTCACACCTGGTACACACATAAGGTTTCTCTCCTGTGTGTATTCTCCAATGTACAAAGAGGTGTGACTTCATGCTGAAGGCTCTCCCACATTCATCACACACATAGGGTTTCTCTCCAGTATGAGTCCTCTGGTGAATATTGAGGTGTGATTTTTGGAAAAAGGCTTTCCCACACTCATTACACTCATAGGGTTTCTCCCCAGTGTGAATTCTCTGATGTTCAATGAGGTGTGACTTATGGGAGAAAGCTTTTCTACATTCAGTACACTCATAAGGTTTCTCTAGAGTATGGATTCTCAGATGTATAACGAGATTTGATTTCTTGCTGAAGCCTTTACCACACTCAGTACATACAAAGGGCTTTTCTCCTGTATGAGTTCTCTTATGTATAATGAGGTCTGACTTCTGGAAGAAGGCTTTCCCACATTCACTACATTCATTTTTTCTTGCATATCTTCTGTTACCACTAAATAAGTCTAAATAGTTAAAACTTCTACCATACGGGTCATGTCTTTGGAGTCTTTGTTTTGAAGAAACAAAGGCTGTGCTAAGATGACATCTATTTTCAAGTGCATTACAATTGTTACGCTTTTCCTCCGTCACAGTTTTCTGGTCAATGAATGCAACATGCCTGAAAAGTGTTCCTTGGTTCTCTCGGTGCCTCTCCACGTGGTCATCAACTTGCCAGACTTCTTCTAGAAGGAAGCATAATAAACTATATGTTGGTGAATATTTCTGCTAATGTATTATGACTCATAGCTTTTTGCCCTATTGTGAGATTGAATCTTTACTTGCAGACCCAGTATCCATATCTAAAAGAAATACCAAGGCTAAATGGAATCTATACCCCTGAGCTTAGCAGGAAAGCCACAACTTTTAAAAAGCCTGTAGTAGTAGTAAAAGAACTAGATAATATGACAATGAACATAAATATATTTGACTATATGCAAACAAGACTTTGTAAACTGGGGAGAAAAATGGAAATAATGCCAAGAAGTAGTAAAAAGGAACAAAGAAGAACAGCTGCTACAGGGTCAATGGGAAGAGCCCATTTAGGAGAAATAAACGTGACTAGGGTAAAATGGTGATTAGAGGAAATAAAGGAAGGACTGGATGAGGAACAGAGAGATTTGAGCTAGTGTCTCATCAACTCATTGTTGGATTGCTGTAGTTTAATCTTCACTTGTCTCTTTGCTTCCAGTGTCTTTGAGCTCTTGTCTATTCATCCAGCAGCATGAAACTGATTTTATAAAACCATCAATTCTACTTGTAAACAGGAACAATTTTGTAGCCAGTATAATGGTAATTCATTCTTGTATAGGTGTGAGGGCGCAGGAATTCCTATGTCCAGTAAGAGGAAAATATGCCATAGGATAAGCCAAGCTTGCTTCAGGATTAGAGTCACTGCTAAATTCTGATTACTGAGTGTATCATATTATTCTATAATAGTTCATAGATAGTGAATCAATCCTGACTTTTAAATGTTCTCCCTACCTTGCTCTCTACCTACCACAGATGGAAAATGAATTGTCATTAAGCACGTGGGCTCTGAATCCAGATTACAATCTTAGTTTCATCACTAATTAGATGTGTGGCACAAGTCAAGTTAATCTCTTTGGGCCTCAATTTCCCCTTCTATAAAAAAGGATAATAATAGCACCTATCTTACAGGATTTTGTGAGGATTAAACGAGTCAATCGCTTTAAGTACTCAGAATACTGCCTAGCATGTAATGTTTCACTAGTTATATATTATTATATTTATTATTACTGATCCTCAGACAACTATGTCCTTGCCACTTTCTGCTTTATATCATGTTTTCCAAGCGTCTGGATTCTATTAATGTAATCTTAAGCAGTAGATTTCTCACCCTGTGTCTAAATTCCTATCAATCTTCATTTTTATCTATTGATATTTTATAAACTTCTGACAGTACCTGACTACTGTTACACTTATGCTACCTATATCCAGAGCAATAAAGGCACCCCTTGGCTCAGAATTTGACAATCCTACCGAGCTTCCTGGCCCAGTTCCCAACATGTAAGTCATCACTCTTTAAAGAAAGTGAGTAAATTTCTATTCTATATCTACCACTGGAACCCCAGAGGCTTCAACATATATCTTTTATCCCAGTGATACTGTGATTTATAATAAGAAATATATATTTCATCTTTGTCCCTGTTTCTGGCACAGAGCTCCAAAAACCCTTGTAATTTCCTAAGTGATGAGAGTCATAAAGGTGTCTTTTGTTATGTTAATAAGTGACTTATGGGAAGCATCTTAGGATCGGGGCTGGTTGCCAGTGGAGCCAACAATGTGATTAGAGGACTGGAACTTTCAGTTCCATGCCTCAACTTCCAGAGAGGGGAGAAGGGCTGGAGGCTGAAGTACTCACCAGTGGCCAATGATTTAATCAATTGTGCCTATGTAATGGAGCCTCCATAAAAACCCTAAAGGAGGGGGTTCAGAAAGTTCACAGGTTGGGGAACCAGAGTGCTTTCATGTACCACCATGTTGGGCCCCAAACTCCATGAGGCCAGAAGTTCCTTGAGTTTGAACTTCTGACCTCCATACCTGTAAGACAATTAATTTCTGTTGTTTTAAGCCTAGTTTGTGGTAATTTTCTTTTTTGTTTTTTTTTTTTTTTTTTGCTGTACGTGGGCCTCTCACTGTTGTGGCCTCTCCCGTTGCAGAGCACAGGCTCCGGATGCACAGGCTCAGCGGCCATGGCTCATGAGCCCAGCCACTCTGCGGCATGTGGGATCTTCCCAGACCGAGGCATGAACCCGCGTCCCCTGCATTGGCAGGCGGACTCTCAACCACTGCGCCACCAGGGAAGCCCTGTGGTAATTTTTAAATTGCAGCCCTGGGAAATTAATATAATGTTAAAAAAAAAAAAAGACACTATGACAACGCAAGGGTGATGGTGGGTAGGCTAGAATGCTAGAGAAATGAAGATCAAAAACTCTAGGTCCAACTCCAGTGACTTTTTAGCAGAGATAGAAAAATCCATCTTAAAATTCACATGGAATCTCAAGGGACTCCGAGTAGTGAAACACTCCAAAAAAAGAACAAAGTTGGATAACTAACACTTCCTGATTTTAAAACATACTACAAAGCCACAGTGATCAAGACAGTGTTGTCATGACATAAAGACAGATAGACAGACCAAAGGAATAGAATAGAGAGCCCAGAAATAAACCCTCATGTATATGGTTAAATGATTTTCTACAAGAGTAGCAAGATCATTCAATGGGGAAAGGACAGTCTTTTCAATAAATGGTGCTAGGAAAACTGGATACCTACATGCAAAAGAATGAAGTTGTATCCTTATCTTATGTCATATACAAAAATTAACTGAAAATGGAGCAAAGACTTAAAGAGCTAAAATGATAAAACACTTATTTGGGACTTCCCTGGTGGTCCAGTAGTTAAGACTCCGCACTTCCACTGCAGGGGGTGCAGGTTCGATCCCTGATTGGGGAACTAATTTCCCACTTGACCACAGAGTGGCCAAAAAAAAAAAAAAAAAAAGATAAAACACTTAGATGAAAATACAGAAAAAAGCCTCATGGAGTTGGATTTGGCAATGATTTCTTGGATATAACACCAAAAGCATAGGCAACAAAAGAAAAAATAGGTAAACTGGCAGGCAGACTCTCAACCACTGCGCCACCAGGGAAGCCCCTGGATTTCATCAAAATTGAAACCTTTTGTGTGTCAAAGGACACTATTAAGGGAAATTGCTGGATCATGTGGTAATTCTCTATTCTCTATTTACATTTTTAAGGAATTCCCATGATATTTTCCACAGCTACTGCACAATTTTACATTCCCACAGAATGTGAGAAAATACTTGCAAATCATATATTTTGTAAAGGATTAATATCCAGAATATATAAAGAAACAACCCAGTTATAAATAGGCAAAGAGGGGGGCTTCCCTGGTGGCACAGTGGTTAAGAATCCACCTGCCAGTGCCAGGGACATGGGTTCGAGCCCTGGTCCGGGAAGATCCCACATGCCACGGAGCAACTAAGCCCGTGTACCACAACTACTGAGCCTGCGCTCTAGAGCCCGCAAGCCATGACTACTAAAGCCCATGCGCCTAGAGCCTGTGCTCCGCAACAAGAGAAGCCACCACAATGAGAAGCCCATGCACCACAAGGAAGAGTAGCCCCTGCTCACCACAACTAAAGAAAACTTGTGCAGCAACAAAGACCCAGTGCAGCCAAAAATAAAATAAAATAAATACATTAAAATAAAATAAAATAGGCAAAGAACTTGAATAGACACTTCTTCAAAGAAGATATACAAATGGCCAATAAGCACATGAAAAGATGCTCAACATCACTAATCACTAGGGAAATGCAAATCAAAACCATAATGAGATACACTTCATACCAAATAGAATGACTATTTATTTAAAAAAACTAGAAAATAACAAGTGTTGGTGAGGATGTGGAGAAATTGGAACACTTGTGCATTGTGGTGGTAATGTAAAATTGTGCAGTAGCTGTGGAAAATATCATGGGAATTCCTTAAAAATGTAAATAGAGAATTACCACATGATCCAGCAATTTCCCTTCTGAGTATGTACCTGAAAGAATTGAAAGCAGAGACTCAAACAGATATCTGTACACCAATGTTCATAGAAGGAATATTCACAACAACTAAAATGTAACAACTCAAATGTTCACTGGTTGATGAATGGATAAATAAAATGTGGTATATACAACAATGGAATATTATTCAGCCATAAAAAGGAATGACACTCTGACACATGCTACAATATAGATGAACTTTGAGATATTATGCTAAGTGAAATAAATCAGACACAAGAGGACAAATATTCTAAGATTCCACTTATATGAGGTATCTAGAATAGTCAAATTCGTAGCTATAGAAAGTAGAATAGTGGGTACCAGTGGCTAGGGGAAGGTGGAACAGAGTTATTGTTTAATGGTTTCAGTTTGTGATGATGAAAGAGTTCTAGAGATGGATGGTGGTAATGGTCTCACAACAATGTGAATATACTTAATACCACTAAACTCTACACTTTAAAATGGTTAAAATGGTAAATTTTATGTTGTCTATATTTTGTCACAATTTAAAAAAAATATCTTCTCAAGGTCCTAAATGAAGTTGATAGGGATCACAGGCAGAATACACCTGAAGGAGAAACTGTAACTCTCTAACAGCCATGCAAAAAAACCCACATTAATATGTGAAGGTGGTACACAGAAATGGTGTTCAGGTAGATATGAAACTTATGTTAACTGTCCCAAGTTATTTCCAAAGGTCCGAGGCCTTTAAGAAGAGAATCTGAAGCATATTTCTCAAAGATGCCAGCCCTCATTAACCAACTGTGAACTTCATTTCATTCACTTCCATCCACAAAACTCTTCACCTGACTCACCTGGGTATCTCCAACTTGAGATTTCTCTCTCCACCATCCATGGTTCTTCTCCTTGTTCCAATTTGTAGATCAGAGCAGGCTTGGTGGTTTTATATCCTGTCAATGAGAAATGATAAGGGATTTGGACCTAGCTACTTGGGCTTCAGGTCCTTAGAACTCTCAGCTTCATCAGGGACTGCCTGATAAAGGTGCTCACTTGTACCTTAAAAAGAGGTTTTTTTAAACAAACGTGTAGCCATGTCTCCCCAAAGATTGTCAGTTGTCATCAACTGAGACTCAGAGCCACACTAGTAAAAGTATCTCAGAGGGCTGGCAATTTGGAGCAACTGAGAAGGGAAAAGCAGTCAACCAGGTGCATACCAATCAACACTGGGAAACGGTCCTCACCCACTGAGATGAGGTTGATATAGTTCTCCAGCATCACATCCCAGTACAGATCCATCTGGGGAGGGTCCAGATACTGCCACTCCTCCTGGGTGAAATCCACAGCCACGTCCTTGAAAGTTACTGGTCTCTGTAACGACACATTTCTATTCCAACTAAAATGATCTATGACGCATAAAATGAAAAAAATGCATGGCAACTTGTTTCTAACCATGTTCATTAGTTGACAATGCTTCCCAAAATTTAGTCCCACTTCGTTTGGGGGGATATTACACTAAACTGGTCTCATTCTGTTTCCCCAGCACTGTGCTTTGATGCCTGTTTGTCTAGATTTATGTTCTATTTTGTGCACGACACAAAACTCATATTTGAAATACTTTATACTTGTGAAATAATTACCCATTAGGCCATTCATGTAATAATAAGTCATTAAACAAATATTTACTGAGTACCTACTACATGTCCAGAACTGACTTTCCTAAATGCAAAGGATCAAATATTGGAAGCTGATCCAATTTGCCAATATGTCAAGCCATAGAAAAAATGCTTACTCAGTGTCAAAAGTTATACAATGAGAAGGCACTGTTCAAACCGCTCTTGATAAGCTTTTTAACGAAGAATAAAACACTTTCTCAATGTTTCAAATTACAGTGTACTAAATATTTGTTTTTATTATTTTTCATTTCCCTATACTTGTATAACCAAGAGAGGATTCAATGTTCTGACAAAAAAAGTTTAAGGTCACAGAATAATTATAACCAATGGGGAAAATCTCATTGATTATTAAGATTGCTTTGAACTATTTCAGCTCATGTGGTCATTTTTACAATCCTGTACTACTGGTCCTGTATAGCAAAACAAACTAACTCACCTGGGACTTGGTCATTTTCTGTAACCCTTGGGTGAAGGCAGAGATCTATGAAGACAGAGATAGGTTTAAGAGAATGAGCCATGTGAGACCAGGTATGACTTGAAGATTCCAGAATCACTGGTGTAATAAACCCTGACACAGGTGACCATAACAACCCATACACAGCTGCCTCAACAGTTGGGTTGAAGAAGCCACTGTGGGAGAATTTCCCCCGGTGTCCTCCAGAATTCATTGAGAGAAAACCACAGATTTGCACTAAGATTTAGCTACAAGGATATCTGTTGTAGCACTTTTTAACAAACTTAAAGTTGGAGCAAATTAAAGAACTGGTTAGTCAAATAGATATATACCCCCCCAAGTAAATTTGTAATCATCAAAAATGATGTTGTCAGAAATTTATCAAAATGTAAGTGGTAGTTGATGTACACCCTTCTCTGACCCTCTAGTCATGCGTTCTGTGGACTCCAACCAGGGCTGTAGGACTACAGATAGGCTACAGTTTGAAAGTAGGATGCACCAGTATTGGGTTCTCAGTGGGACCAAGGATCTAGGCAAAGACATCTATAGACTTGGAAATATAGTGTCCACATGGTGAGATTCATTCAACAGTCTGTCTGGAATCTGCCCCAGGGGAACTGAGGTGCAGGTCCCTGTGGTTTAAGCTGAGGAGGAGCAGAGTTCAGTCAAATGCTGTGTTTTAGGCTGGGAGACATGTTGTAAAAAGTAGGAGAGTTGGAAACAAATATCTGGGCTTGAATTTACCTGCTGTCTATTTGACCTTGAGCAAGTCACTTCACCTTCCTGAGCCTCAGTAAAATTGGAAATAATACCTGTGTTGTACCAGTGACTTTACCCACCCACCCCTTTTTAAATTAAGCTAACAAATATATTTTACAAAACAACCTAATGTTAATGTAGGTGTGTGTGTGTGTGTTTGTGTGTGTGTGTGCGCACTCACGTCCATGCTAGCCGTTCCCTCTGGCCAGCACCCACTTCCACTATTTCATCAAGACTTTCGTCAGATACCAAGGAGGGCTCCCTGTCTATCTAATTTAAAATTAACCCTTCTCCCATTTCCCTTACCCTGATCTACTTTTTCTTTGTGTATAACACATCACTTTCTAGTATACTACATAATTTACTGATTTATTATGCTTATTGTTTATTGACTGTCTCTACTTAACTAAAACTAAAATTTCGTAAAGGCAGGGATTTTTGTCTGAATAGTCAATAGCCAGCACCAGGAAAGTGTTTGGCTCATAGATGCTCAAAAAAATAGTCATTGAAAAAAAATACATATGTAGCTATAGTAAGTTTCATAAAACAATGCTTATTACATGGGATACATATGTGATATTTTACAGTATTTTATTTTTTTAAATGTTCACATACAAGAGTACATACCATAGAATTCCATTTATATGATGTTCTATAAAGGCAAAATTAACCTGTAGAAAGTGGAAAACTGGTTGTTTCTCAGCATACGGGAGGAATGATTGACTGGGAAGGTTCAGAACTTTCTGGGGGATTAAAATGTTTTGTATTTTGATGGTGTGGTGGTTAAATGGGTGTATACAACAAGTTTTACATTTTTATTCTCTGTAAGTTACGTGCAAATTATTCTACGTAAATTATAACCCAACTTTTAAAAAGCACTGGCAAATAAAAATACTAGTCTTTACTAACTGAACAGATTTCATCACCCATACTCACGACCGTACTGGGTTTCAACCCATAGTTTGAAAAACTGACTTACAGGGTTGCTGTGGGGTTAAAGCTAGACACCTTTGGAAAAGCAGGCAGCATTCCACCGGCAACAATTCAGACCTTCAGTAAAGCGTGGTTCTCTTTCCACACCCTAAAGGGCATTAAACACTTATCCGCTCCGGCCACTGGTGGATGCGCTCCGGGTCGCCACACCTGCAGAGCCCCTGCATCGCCCGATCCCCGACCCGCAAGAACGCAGTCCCGGGAGCCCGCCCACCCGGGGCTCACGGACTCGGGCTGGGAAGGGTCACTGTAGCTTTTGACACACGCCGGTCCACGCCTCTACCCCGAAGTCCGGCTGAGCTCTATTACTCCCCACCCGCCTCATACCCGCGCCATCTTCCTCTGCACGGCGCACCTCCAGCCCCGACCGAGGCCAGCCAGGTGAAGGGCTTAACCTCTTGGGCCTCACCCCCGCGCGGGGTCACCACCGTGAGGACTTGGAGCGCACACATGCGCAGAAGAAGCCGCCTCGCGCGGGGCTCGCTGGAGCGTGTTCCCTCCGACTGCAAACTACATCTCCCAGAACGCCCGCCCTGAGGTGCCGCACACGCGCAGCGAGAGGCCAGGCGCGCGTGAGGTGTGGCCCCGGCGCGTTCCACCTGATTCCAGCTCTGCGTTTCCCGCCCCGGTCCCCAACCCCCTTCCCGGCGAAAGGTCCACTGGGGGATGACGCACAGGCGCACTGTGCCAGGAGGCGTCCGTACCTACCCCGTTTCAAGAACTGTCCCGGCAGGATCGGCTTTCACTAGAAATTTGAGGACTTAACTCTGGAATTTGAGTTTGAACCCAAGGCTTTTCTTTGTGGGCCTGTGAGTATGAAGTTACGACAAAATGGGAAATACATCTTACAGATTTTATTCAAATGCCTGCAAATTGAAGCTAACAATGGTTGAAGTTAGTACTGAGTGGGATAATTCCGAAGAACACAAACACAAATTTATATTGATTACACAAATATGATGACCAATAGCTAACTCGTCTGGGTAATATTTAAAGAGAAAAATTTGAAAAAGCTTGGAGACAGATTTACTCCTCAGGGGAGTTCAATATTAAGAAGGTGTGTTCCCGACCGTTTGGAGTCGGGCCTCAAGAAGGGTCTACTTCAGAAGCAAAAGAAAGCTTTATTCTGTGGTCAAAGAATGGAGAGGTGCAAACTGGCGCTCTAGAGCACATGTTCTCCTGGAAGGACCATTAGCGGGGCTACTTTATAGGGTTCTTGTCAGTGGCGGGCGGGGTGGAGATCTCCTGGGTGAGGGTTAGGCGTGTTGCTCACGCACCTCAGACTGAAGTGCCGGGTACAGCGTCTGCACACGACCTGCTGCTGCCACCGCCATCTTGAATTGAATGTCCTGCGCAGGCTTCCGCTCACTTCAGGCCAAGATGGGGTGTCTAGCACAGCGTACGGCGCTTCTGCTCTGGGAGCTCTGTGGCAAATCCCCCCTCTTTCTTTTGACCTGCCCCTCATTCTTGACGGGTGCTGAGGGGCGAGGGTCTGTCTTCTGCAACTGCTTCCTGCCGAGTTTGAGTGTTGTCATAACCCCAGGTGGAGGAGCACAACTTCTCCCCTGCCGCCTTGAGATGTGTTTGATTGTTGACTGGCCTCAGCCCTGACTTCGTATCCCTGAGCGACCACCATTTGAAGTTTTATAGATTCTAATCTTCTGGAGACAAAGGACGCCAGACAATTTAAACTACATGGCCCAAATATGTATCAGCAAGAGGACAATGGTTCTTAAGGGGCCCAGGAAACGTAGAAGCCAAGGATGCTGGGGAGGGCTTGTTTTACCCTGTTCCAAAATTTGTTTGGCCAGATTAGGCTGGCTGGCTTCTGTTAACCAAGTTGGTTTTTCTAGTAGCCTGTCTACACTTTCTTTAATCAGGCCACTTACACTGATGTAAAAGCAACATGTTGTATTGACTTGCACAGACCCCCTCCCTCGTCAGCCAACAGATAATCTAGGGCAATCCAGTTATCCTAAAATTCCTATTACTTGGCATATACAATTACTTATCTTTTGCCTTTTTTTGAAAAAGGAGTTTTAGGTTGGAGAGAGGTTCACAAGAGCAGTGTGGAGCGGGGGTGGGGTGGGGGTGGGGGATGGTGTCTGTTGTCTTGGGTTATTTCTCCAGAGGTTGGGGCTCAGGAGCCCTCTTCATTGGAGTGTGATGTACCCACGGAGTGATCCCCTGCAACTTCAGGGCAGAATGGGTGGTTAGCATCACTAAGTGCGGTCCGTTCCACTTAGGAGTGAGTTGATGTCTTGGGCTGCCTGTTTTCCATGTTTTTAGGTACACCCACTCTCCTGGCTGGAAGGGATGTAGGACCAGGTCAGTGTGTGCAGGCCGCTCATGGTTACCATATTCTGTGAGAGCTTTCATGGTTTTTCCTACGTGGAGAGCTTGAGTTGTTTCATTCCAAGGGGTTAAGGTGTCCCTTCTTGGGCTTGGGGAATGCATCTACCATTCATGAGTTCGGGTGCATTTAAGTTTAACTTATCCCCACCGGGGACTAACCACACGTAGAGCAGAGCAGTCAGAAGAATCTTACTCCAGTTTTCGTGACAGGCTGAGTGTAAGGTCCATTTTATGCCCAGGGCACTCACTATTCCCTTCGTCACTTGAGACACAAATGCTGGATCATTATCATTTTGTAGGGATCCTGGGAGCCCAAACCTGGGGATTATTTCTTTTAGTAATGCCTTAGTCACTTCAGCTGCCCGCTCAGTTCTAGTGGGGAATGCTTATATCTGAAATTGTCCGATATTCTCAGTGTGAGAGTGAAATCTATCTGCCAGTGTTCTCCAGGGTCTGTCCCTCTGGTTTGAATGGGTCTTATCTGGGGGCCTCTGGGGGCTCTGGTGTTGGGGTTATTTATTGTACCATTGGGGCAGGTCTCAACTACCCAACGTTTACGTTTTTCGTGCTTGGGGTCACCATGATCTCAACCAGCTAATTATCTAGGACTTCCCTCCCATAGTGAAATCCTTAATGGTCCTCCCTGATGGCTTGGCAATCTACAGTTTGGGGCATTAACTAGCCACCCATGACTCCCCAAATCCCTATTGAAGCCCCGTTTTGGGGTTTTGTCTAATATTTCTTTTGTGTAGATTGGGGCATAATTGGATGGATCTGACCTTCAAAGTACGAAGGGTAGTTGCCAAGTTACTGGTTCTAGGGCCACCTTTCTGGCAGTTGCATCCACCGTGTCGTTTCCCATTATCCTCTGCATCCTCCTTTTGGTGACCCCAGCAATGAATCATTGCCACCTTTTTTGGAATCTGTACTGCTTCTGAGAGTTTCAGTATGCTTAAGCCATGTACCACCTGTTTATTCTCTGCAGTAAGCATAGCTCTTCCCCTTCAAATAGCCCTGTGTCTGTGTAGGGTGGCATATGCATACCAGGAATCTGTGTAAATATTTAAGGCCTTCCCTGTCCTGAGCTCTAAGGCTTGGGTGAGGGCCATCAGTTTCACCTTTGGGGCTGAAGTCCCTGGGGGTAGGCCTCTTCATTCTATGACTTGGGTCTGGGAGGTTATTGCATATCCCACCAGGCTTTTTCCCTCCCTCATAAAACTACTCTTCAGCTTTTGGGAGACGCTTGATTCCTAGGTCGGTGTGACTGGGATAGACTGTGTCTATTGTTTCTATACACTCATGTTCTAAGGGCCCTGTTTCTGTAGGTAGTAAGATGGCAGGATTTAATGTACGACAGGTTTGACAGGTTTTTTGTTTTGTCTTGTTTTGTTTCTAGGCTGCGCTGCGCCCCAGTGAAAGTGCTGACTCCTAACCACTGGACCACCAGGGAACTCCCAGTGTATGACAGGTTTTCATAGTAACCACTAAGGTATCCAAAAGTGTAGCCTGGACTTGAATTGACCTGTTCCCTTAGAGCTTACTAAATGCTTGAAACTGGTGTGGAGTTCATAGGGTGATTTGCTGTCTGAACATTAACTTCTCAACCTCCTTTAGCGGGGTTGCAGTAGCTACTACTGCCCGTAGGCAAGGAGACCATCCTTTAGCTGTTTGATCTAATTGTTCAGATCTGTCCAGGGAAGTTTGTCCTCAGCCATTAACATTACCATCTTGTGCCCCCCGTCTAGGGGAATGCCAATCTCCAGTTTGTCTCCCATTAGGTGGATAGTAACTCCTAATTTATGTAAGATATCCCTTCCTATCAGGGATATAGGACATTTGGGAATGTGTAGGAAGGAATGGGTGACGTGTTTGTCCAATTTGCATTTTAATGGCTCTATGAATGCCCGTTCTTGGGCCTTCTCTGATACTCCCATAATTTTACAACTCTTATGACTGAGTGCCTGATCTGGTGTTCAGAACTGAGAAAGTGGCACCAGTGTTGACTAAGAATTCAACAGACTTTTCCCCAGTGTCCAGTCTCAGGCGGGACTTCTCGGGGGTCAATTGGAGTGCTGGCTTAGGAGCCCCTGGCCCCATTATTCTTCATCTATTTGGACCATCTGCCTTCGAGGGTTGTGGCCGGGTTCTGCCATTTCCATCCACCTTGGGGGACGCTGAGGGCATTGTGTCTTCTAGTGTCCCTCTTGTTTACATATGGCGCACTGATTGGGTACTAGTTTTCTTGACTTGCTATAACTTGGTGGAGGCTGGGGATCACTCACCAGGTCGAGAATCTCCGTGGGTAGTTAGTTCAAATTCCCATGCCGTCTGGTTGACACTGAAGGGCAACAACCAGTAGGTGGGCTTGCCTCCAGGCCTTTTTATCCTCTATATTTTGGTTTTTAAACACCCAGTAGGCAACCTCAACCAGGTGAGAAGTACACCTAGTGTCGGGGGCACTTTGGGCCAGTTGACAGGTTTCTTTTCTGCTGCCTAGATTCCCTTTAGGAGTGATCTGTCCAGTCGAATTCAACGGCCACTATTTTCAACTCAGCATTGGTGTCTTTTCGAGGGACCAAAAACAAACAAAAAAACCCTTTTATTTACTTAGAAGTATTTGTCTGTCTCATCCTTGACTTTTAAATTTAATTCTCCATATGTGCTTTTATTCCCCTCCTCCACCATGCCCAATCCCAAATTCCTTTTTTCATCTTTTGCAGTTTGCACTGTTTTAGTTATTTACTTCCCTAATCTAGATGTGGATATGTCTTTACATCTGTTATTAAAATAAGAGTCTTTGTTGGTGATGTCTGGGTCATGCTGTCATTGGTATTAAAAATGTTCTCGTTTTCATTATCTGAACTCTTAGAAAACATGGTCATATAGTCACACTGTTAGAAATTAAACTAGTACTATATCAGTACAAAGCACAACAGTTAATCCACAGACAAGGCCACAGACTAATTATTAAAGCTTATGATTGCAGTGCACTTAAATTGTACACTTAAAATTGTATCACTCCAGAGTGATGCAACAGTGGATAAACCATTTTTGTAAACTGCAAATCATGACTGCCAGCATCAACAGCCAAGGGAAGAAAAAAGCAATAGTAACGACCAGGAAAGGCATAAAATCTTTGCCTTATCCACTTGAGAGGATAACAGTGTTGCTTACGCCTTTACTTTTGGGACCACCTTATGGGTTTTGTACTTATTCTCCAACTTTCCCCAGCCATCCTCCCAAAGCAGGACTTCTGAAGTCCCTGGGAGGGATTTCCTGGGGCAGTTCCAGACAAAACTTTATGGTGGGTCATTCCACCTCAGTCTTCTCCTTTCATTTCTCCTTTTTTCTATCTGTCAATCCCCCCTTCTCCTTCATTCTCCTTTGCCTCTGTCCTCAGTCTCTCACTCTCAGTCCCTCATTCTCCCCCCTTTTGTCCTCTAGTCTCCACTCTCTGTTCTTATGCCTTAGGTCTTTTTGTCCCTTAGGCTTCCTTTCTCTTTTCCTCAGTTTCTCCTTTATTTTGTGTTTCAGTCTCCTCTTCCCTGTCTCAATTTTCTTTTTTTAAAAAAATAATTTTATTGAAGTAATATTGTGTTAGTTTGTGCCTTACAGGAAAGCAGCAAAGTGATTCAGTTATGCATATATATATATATATATATATATATATATATATATATATATACACACACACATACTCTTTTTCCTATTCTTTTCCATTATGGTTTATGAAAGGATATTGACTATAGTTCCCCGTGCTATACAGTAGGACCTTGTTGTTTATCCATCAATTTTCCTTTTTTTCGTCAATCGCCCCCTGCGATTTATTACCATAATTGTAATTTCCCCTAGGAGGATTTCCTATAATAATTAGCATAAGTAACTGTTCATGCCCCTCTCTGCTGCCCAAGTTTTCCATCACTTTTGCCCCTCTCCCACACTGGAATCTCCTGGACCATTTAGCAGACCTTTTCAGTAGACTCTCCTACGAAAGGATTGCACCATTCCAAATTCCTCTTACACCAGTTACAGTCTTCCAGTAAAGTACTGCCCTACTGTAGTTCTTCCCCATCCTGTAAAGTCTGCAATAGCTTCTACCTTACGCATTTGTATAATTCTCCTTTTTGTCATCTTTTCCCCCTCCCCTCGCTGCCGCGGTGGTACAGCCCAGCCTCAGGTTCCGAATAAACTGAATTCCTCTGCTTGTACGGAACTGGCCGGCCTTTCAAGATGGCGGCTCCCACTGAGACACAGCGCTTGGGAGCGGCCATATTGCCTCCTGAACAAAGCCGCTCAGGGTGTGGAGCGGCCAAAATGCCCGGTACGGAACAGCGAAGGCCCGGGAGCCTCGTGCTTTGCTCACCCAGACAGGAAGCGGGAGAGTTCGCCGCAATGAATGTGACATCCGTACTGGGATAAGCTGTGGCAGGCGTTTTGGGACCTGATAATCGAGCTGGGGGTCAGAAGGGGGAATTATGGGTTGAGACCTGAGGAAGACTGAAATTGTTATTGGGACGGCGGTCCATGAGGGTCAGTAATTGAAGGTCTATGGGGTCAGTGGTGGGGAGTCTCTAGTATGAGTGTTGGGTGTGTATGTGGATCAGTCATAGGGAGAGCTGTGTTATTTGTGGGTCAGGGACCGCGGGCCTGTGCGCTGATGGGGTATCCGTGTGGCCAGTGATTTGTGGACCTATATGGCCAGTGCTGTGATGGGAGTGGGGGTGGAGGTGCTCTTTGAGATTTCTGATTTCTGCACCTGGTGATTCAGTGATTTTTAGAGGTTATTAATGGGGCCCAGAGCTGATACAGGTTAGTCCCAGTTTACTGGGAAATGCCTCACTTTACAGTCTGTGTAGGTCAGAGGCTACTCTCAAGGTGAAGCCCCTCCTCAGATGTTTTTTTCAAGCCATCATCTCTTTCCATCATTCATATCATCACAGAAGAAAACATCCTTTGAATGTAAGACCAAACAAATCTAAAGGGACAGGATTATTACTGTCAATTCCGTCGAGCCAAAAACTACCAGGAACACCCTGTAGTTGAATAAGTTGGGTTTATTGCTCTTGCATCTAGTTAGGAACACGTACACAGTGGGGAGCGTTAAGGGTGTCTCGATAAGAGGGTGTTAGAAAACACTTGTTATAGGATTTGGCCTTGTGTTAGGTGATTTTGAGGAGGGTGTAGGGAACGGGCCTAGCTCTGAATTGGATGTTGTCAGGAAGTGGGGTAATTCAGTGAGTGGAAATTTTAATCTTATCTAGAGAGAAGAATGACTAGGTTGAAGCTAAAGGTGTGATAGGTAAAAAAGTAGCAATCCTTCATGTTAGTTGGGAGAGGGGGATGTTTGGTATTTTGTGAATTGGAGAATGTTGATGTTTTGTCTGTGTTCAGGTATGATTTAAGAGAGGTGTTGTTTTTGTCTAGATCTGTCCTGTTCAGGGAGTGGCCTGTCTGATGTAAGTGTTTCTTGTAATTGTTCATGTTAAATAGGAGAGTTATGAGTGCCAGGCCAGTTCTCAGATAGGAAGGGCTGCTTTTTCTCTTTCTCATGTAAGATTTGATTTCAGCCCTGCCTCTTCCTCAGTTTATTGCAGTCCTTCTACATTCTGTTCAACAAACATTTATTAAATGCCTGCTGTTTACTTGTTGCAGAGCTGGGCGTTCAGAGATGAGCATGACTGTTTGATTGTTTTCTTCCAGATTTATTTTGACAAAGCCTGGGATACCCTATATGAAACAGTCTTCCTATCATGAGAGGACTCACTTCCTCTAAATGAGTTCAGCCCATGTCTGCATGACCCATCCTGGGACTGAGAAGATTACCAGGTAACTATCTTGCTGCACTGTGGTATGTTCATGTTTAACAGTAGTTCCAACCTATAACTATATATTTTTTAATATAAAAACTGCACTATTAAAAATTAGCAATAAAAATTTAAACAGAAAACATCTTAAAAATAACAAAATCGACAATTTTAATCCATGAATACTGACTTGGCAAGAGAATTTGCCAAGTTAGGGGAAAACATGAAAGAGCTCTTAGGATTTTACTGGCTGCTTCTGTTTAGGGAATATGGGAATGCATATTCCCTAAACAGAAGCAGTTTTCTACTTCGTCATTCCCATTCTTATTGCTAGGGATCTGCTCCATCTTCAGTTAAATCTTTACATATATATCCATGATTATTGTCTTACGGTAGTTCTGCATATAGAATAACAAATATAATTGTTGGTCCAAAGGGGAACAATAAGGTGTTAGTAAGTCAACAGAAAACATATCAGCATTCATCCAATTAAAAATACACCTTGTCCAAGTTCTATGTGATCATATTATAATCACAAGATGGCTTCCTTCACATGGTGGTTTGGTAAGGACTCTTCCGTAGGACCAAATGACCTTCTTCTACAGGGTGGCCTGTTATCCACGTGACTTTTGGTGGTAGTGTTTCTAGACTGGTGAATGTCAGTTCTGGCTCCAGGAGGCTCCATTCTATCTCCTAGTCCTGATTCCTCAGACCTTTTCCCTTTTGGAAGAGAAGCAGAAGATGACCAAGTCTCAGGTGAGTTGCTTGCTTACTTTGTACTTGATTTCCATACAATGAAATAGAAAAGAGTGGAAAGTCAAAAATTAGGATTAGGGAAAATGTAGAGGGAACGAAAGATAAAGACTTGAAAAGAGTTACTATGTAATATGCAGATTATATATTTTGAAACCACTATTAAACTATAGTTCATATATATATATTTGTTATATATAAATTTTGAGAAGACACAGTGGAAAGTTAGAGAATATCATATGCATGATTTGCATTTTCATGTACCATTTGTTGAATAATCCACTTACTTGAAGTGGATGCTGCCTTGATTAAATTTCCATTTGTGATTAGGTCTCTTTTACTTTCCTGTTCTCTTGCTGTGTTTGACTCTTTTTGCGGAAGATAGATCTTTACATCATTTTTCTCAATAGGCATAATGTAGAACTGGGAATGTAGTTTTGTATGCTATGGTAAAAATGATGAGAATGATCAATTCAGATTGAACAGGAGCATGCTATTACAGGGTCCAGTGTCATTCGAGGATGTGGCTATAGATTTCACCCAGGAGGAGTGGCAGCAACTGGACCCTGCTCAGAGGACCCTGTACAGGGATGTAATGCTGGAGAACTACAGCCACCTGGTCTCAGTGGGTAAGGATGGCTTCCCAACATAACTCAGAGTTAGCCAATCCAGTGCCTCTCACTGGAATTTGATTGAGTTGGGTGGGTTCTTGACCTACTTGTGACTTTTTGCTCTCTTTCTTCTCTCCAGTGGAAGGTCATTACTGTTCTGAGGGCCAGCTGGACAACTTCATTGTAGGGCTCCTAAAACTGTATCTTTTCTTCTTTCTTCAGTGTAGTCAACTCAATTCCTCAATTTTTTTTTATCATAGGGTATCCAGTTTCCAAACCAGGTGTCATATCTAAGTTGGAACAAGGAGAAGAGCCATGGATTATGAAGAGAGACATATCAAATTGGATCTATCCAGGTGAAAATCTGGCAGATGGAAGACAAAGGAAGTGAAATATCAGTTTGTTTTTGTTTTTAATTGGTTGGCAACTAAGACTTACATTTCCACCCAGATTGATAACTCCTATTCCTTCTTGCTCCTGTGCTGTGCGTGTAGTAGGTATTCGACAACTAGTTAATTCAGTAGTAGTGAGCCATGTACAGAAGAGAAATTTCTTATTGATCCACTCAACAATCATATCTTTAGTACCTTTCTAAAAGAGTCAAAGACAATAGAAGGCAAATGCTTTTCAGGAACATAGGTTATACATAGAAAGACAAGACATCAAGATTTACAGCTATATAAAATTGCATGTCCAATATAGTTACTGCTTCAGGGGTTCAGTGAAAATTATAGTCTAAAGAGATGTGGCATAATTTAAGAAGGCATTTTTCAAAGCATGAACCAGCTACTTTGAAGCATATCTGAAGTGTGGCTTAGGCAGAAGGAGGAAGGTGAGGGCAAGCTCTAGGAAAGGACATGTACAAATCCTTGGAGTTAGAAATCAACATGGCTTATCTGATAGAAATTTTCTAGGCTTACTTGACTTTAAATAAAAGATATTTATTGGGGAATAGTGGAATATAAAGTTGGTTACATATTGTGACTACAGCTATGTTTCACTAGCTGTACCCTGAAATTTTCTGTTATTTTTTTTAAGCAGCTTTGAGATATAATTCATATGCCATACAGTTCACCCATTTAAAGTCAGCAGTGGTTTTTAGGATTTGTGCAACTGTCTCCACAGTCTATTTTAAGACAGTTTTAAGATCACCTCCAAAAGAAACCCTATACCCTTTAGCTATCACACCCCTTCTTCCCATCTCCCCAGCCCTAAGCAATCACTAATCTGCTTTCTGTCTGTATTGATTTGCCTCATTCTTGATATTTCATATAAATGTATTCATATAATATGTCGTCCTTTGTGACTGACTTCTTTCATAATGTTTTCAAGGTTCATCCACATTTTAGCATGTATCAGTACTTCATTCCTTTTTTGGCTGAATAATATTACATTGTATTGATATACTACATTTTGTTAATCCATTCATCAGTTGTTGGATATTTGGCTTGTTTCCACCTTTCAGCTACATGAATAATGCTACTATTAAAATTCATGTACAAGTTTTTGTATAGACATATCTTTTTTTTTCCTTTGGTGTGTACCTAGGAGTAGAATTGCTGGGTAATATAGCAACTGTATGTTGAACCAAAACGGTCCCTGAAGACTAATTAGGTTGAGCATTTTTTCATGTGCTTATTGGCCATTTATTTATGTTCTTTGGAGAAATGTCTATTCAGATCACTTGTCCTTTTTTTTTGAAGTATAGTTAACTTACAATATTATCTTAGTTTCAAGTGTACAACATAGTGATTCAACATTTTAATAGATTATACTCCATTTAAAGTTATTACAAAATAATGGCTATATTTTCCTGTGCTGTACAATATATCCTTGTTTATTTATTTTATACATAGTAGTTTGTATCTCTTAATCCCCTATCCCTATCTTGCCCCCCATCCATTTTTGAATTGAGTTATTTGTCTTTTATTATTGAATTATAAGAGCTCTTTATATAAAGTTCCTATATAGAACTTCCATGTAAAGTTTGTTATATAGATATAATTCTTTGTATAGAATTCTTATTTGATATAAATCTCTTATCAGATAAATGATTTGCACATACTTCCTCCCATGTTTTCTTTTTACTTTCTTGATTGTGTCATTGAAGCACACATTGAAGAGTTTTTAACTCTTTTTTTAAAATTTTTAAAAATTTTTGGCTGCATTGGGTCTTCATTGCTGAGCACGGGCTTTCTGTAGTTGTGGCGAGCGGGGGCTACTCTTGGTTGTGATGCGCAGGCTTCTCATTGTGGTGGCTTCTCTCCTTGCGGAGCACAGGCTCTAGGTGCCCAGGCTTCAGTAGTTGCAGCATGTGGGCTCAGTAGTTGTGGTGCATGGGCTTAGTTTCCCTGCGGCATGTGAGATCTTCCTGGACCAGAGATCGAACCCATGTCCCCTGCACTGGCAGGCAGATTCTTAACCACTGTGCAACCACGGAAGTCCCAAGAGTTTTTAATTTTGATGAAGTATAGTTTATCTATTTTTTTTTGTCGTTTGTGCTTTGGTGTTATATCCAAGAATCCATTGCCAAATCCAGTGTCATGAAGATTTACCCCTATGTTTTTTTCCTGAGAGTTTTGTACTTTTAGCTCTCACATTTAGGTCTTTGATCTGATATTTTGAGTTAATTTTTGCATATGGTGTGGGGTAAGGGTCCAACTTCATTCTTTTGCCTGTGGTAATCCAGTTGTCCCAGCACCATTTATTGAAAAGACTCTCCTTTTCCCATTGAATGGTCTTGGTACCCTTGCCAAAAATCAGTTGGCCATAAATGAAAGGGTTTATTTCTGGACTGTCTATACTATTCTGTTGATCTATATATCTGTTCTAAAGCCAATATCACACTCTCTTGATTACTGTTGTTTGTGGTAAGTTTTGAAATTGGGAAGTATCATTCTTCCAACATTGTTTTTCTTTTTCAGCATTGTTTTGGCTCTTCTCGGTCCATATGAATTTTAGAATCAGAGTATCAGTTTCCACAAATAAACGTCTTCAGATTCTGAAAGGGATTGGTTGGATTTGTAGATCGATTTGAGGAGTATTGCCATGTTAACAGTATTAAGTCTTCTGATTCCTGGAACATGAAATGTTTTTCCATCTATTTAGATCCTCTTTAACTTCTTTCAGCAATGTTTTATAGTTTTCAGAGTATAAGTTGTGTACATCTTTGTTAAACATACTTCTTAGTATTTTATTCTATTTGATACTATTGTAAATGAAATTGTTTCATTAACTTTATTTATGGATTGTCCATTGCAAGTGCATAGAAATGCAATTGATTTTTGAATATTGGTCTGGGATCCTGCAAACTCACAAAGTTTACTGGTTCTAATAGTTTTTAGCTAATTCTTTAGGATTTTCCATATAAATGAATTTGTCATCTGTAAATAGAGATCGTTTTAAATATCCCTTTACACATTGGATACTTTTTATTTCTTTTCTTGGTTAACTACCCTGGCTAGAACCTCTAGTACAATGTTGAATAGAATGGAGAGTGGACATCCTTGTCTTGTTCCTGATCTTATGGGAAAAATCCAGTCTTTTACCATTAAGTTATGTTAGCTGTAGGTTGTCATGCCCTTTGCAGGTTGTGGAAGTTCCTTTCTATTCCTAGTTTGGTGAGTGTTTTTATCATGAAAATGTGTTGCATTTTGACAAATGTTCTTTCTGCATCTGTTGAAATGATCTATTTATGTGATGTGTTAATGAATTTTAATTAATAGATTTTTGGACAACAAACCAACCTTATATTTCTGGATAAGTTCCACTTGGTGATGGTGTATAATTCTTTTTATATGCTGCTGGATTTGGCTTAGTAGTTGTATTGGGGGTCTGCAAGACCACCTTCAGTTCTGCTGATTTGCTAGAAGGACTCACAGACTGAGAAAAACTGATACATTCATGGTTATGGTATATTACAGTGATAGAATTTACCAGTCTAGATATGGACATTTCTTTGTGGGAAGATTTTTATTTATTAAGTTTCTTTCCTTGATGTGGATCTATGTAGATTATTTACTTTTTCTTGAGTCAGTTTTGGTAGGTTGTTTTTTTTCCCAAGGAATTTTTCCAGTTCATCTAAATTGTCATATTTATTGGTATAAATGTTTTTCATAATATTCCCTTTTTGTTCTTTTATGTCTATAGGATCTCTAGAGATGTTCTGTCTTTCATTCCTGACACTGATACTTTGTTTTCTTCTTTCCTCATCACTAGCTAAAACATAACAATTTCATTAATTTTTTTTCAAATAATCAGGTTTTGATTTCATTTATTTTTCTTGTTTGTCTATCTTCTATTGATTTCCACTCTGCTCTTTATTGTTTCCTGTCTTCTATTTATTTTAGGTTTAATTTGCTCTTTTTCTAGCTTCTTAAGGTAGAAGCTTAGATCATTAATTTGAAATCTTTATTGTTTTCTAGTATGAACATTTAAATATAGATAGTCCTTACTTTGTATGGTAGTGAGGGGCCATAAAAATTACCATGGAAGCCAGAACTTTGCCAAGTAATTTTTATAATCGACGGGAAAAATTGTAATTGATTTTGACCTTTAAACATTTTTCGTCAAAACATTAAAAGTTATCTTGGGGACTTCCCTGGTGGTCTAGTGGTTAAGACTTTGCCTTCCAATGCAGGGGGTACAGGTTCGATCCCTGGTTGGGGAGCTAAGATCCCACATGCCTTGTGGCCAAAAACCCAAAACATAAAACAGAAGCAGTATTATAACAAATTCAGTAAAGACTTAAAAAAAAAATGGTCCACATCAAAAAAAAAAAAAAAAAATTGAAAAAAAATGCTATCTTGCTGTTGGTTATAACTGTTTATAGAGATGAAAATGTAGTAAAACTATTACTTATTTACTACCCTGCAATTTAAAACATTGGAAGCATTGAAAATGTCTTTTATTTCTTTTAAAAAACTCTATGTAGAGTGGTTTGAACAGTGCTTGCCTTCTTATAATTGTATAACTTATGATAAGGAGTTAACATGTTCTCTGTGCCTTAGTGAATTGTCATATTACTTTCTAAGGTTGGGTCAGCTTCCAACATTTTCTCCTTTGTGCTTTCAGTGTTGTGAAATATGTCAAAGGTAATGTGAAAATTTAGGCATCACTTTCTTTGAAATATTTTTATCCTTTCCATCACAACCCAGAAATTTATGTTGATAAGTTTGCCTTCACTAAGTTCCTCTGGCTGCATATCTAAAGTCTCATAAATAGTGGCAATGCCAACATGGTCAGCTATTTTCTAATCACATCCAGTGTTGTTATGTGTTGTTTCTTTGCTGCATTTACATCTTTGTTGGTCAGTTCCCTCTTTCAGTTACGCATTTTTGGATGATTAGGGTAATTTGGATAATGTCACGTGGGTTTATCAATGGGATACAAGGAAGAAACAAACTACACACTTTGCTGTCTGTATATATATTGGACAACAGATGTGAAGTTAATAGTCACCAACAGACTTTGAAAGAAGTGAAATGATTGGGTGCTGATCATGATGTGTATCTGTTATTTATTTAGTGATTTATGGACTGAAGAGCTAGCAGTGAAGTTTGTACTTTATGCTGTTAGACATACTGTGGTCATTAAAGTGTGAACTATGTTGTTGGCAGACTGGTGTTATTTAACTAAACTGTGGTAACTAAATTTCATGCTTGTTGAAATCTTGCAAAATGAGGATTACCTGCATATAATTTGTCCTCTAAGCATGAAGCTGTGTCCCACAATTTTTGATATTTTGTGTTTTCATTTTCATTCAATTCAAGTTATTGTCTAATTTCTCTTTGGACTTTTTGACACATAGTTTATTTACAGATATGTTATTTAATTCCCAAATATTTGGGGAGATTTCTGATATTTCTTTTTGTTATTTATTTCTAATTTAGTTCCATTATGGTTGGAAAATATACTCTGTATGATTTCCATCCTTATAAAATTATTGTAGCTTGTTTTGAAGCCCAGTATATAGTCTATTCTGATGTTTGATTAATGTGTTCTTGAAATGAATGTGTGTTCTGTTGTTGGATGGGGTATCTGTAGATGTCAGTTAAGTCAAGTTCATTGATATTTACTGATTTTCTTTGTCTGCTTGTTTTTTTTTAAAATATATTTTTAAAATATGACTTGAATTTTATTTATTTGTTAATTATTATTTTTTAAAATTTATTTTTGGCTGCACTGGGTCTTTGTTGCTCCGCACAGGCTTTCTCTAGTTGTGGCGAGTGAGGGCTACTCTTTGTTGCGGTGGGTGGATTTCTCACTGTGGTGGCTTCTCTTGTCGAGGAGCATGGGCTCTAGGCGCACGGGCTTCAGTAGTTGCAGCACGTAGGCTCAGTACTTGTGGCTCGCGGGCTCTAGAGCACAGGCTCAGTAGTTGTGGTGCATGGACTTAGTCGCTCCGCGGCATGTGGGATCTTCCCAGACCAGGGCTCAAACCCGTGTCCCCTCCATTGGCAGGTGGATTCTTAACCACTGTGCCACCAGGGAAGTCCTTAATAGACCATTTTCATTCCCCTGTTTATTTTTTAGTTGGTAGTTGTGTGTGTGTGTGTGTGTGTGTGTGTGTGTGTGTGTATGTGTGTGTGTGATGTTGCTATAGGGATTACAATATATTTATTTTCTTATAACCCACCTTATGTTGATACTGCTTTTTTTTCTCTCACAAATTATAGAAACTTGCACTAGCATAGCTCCATTTTCTGCCCTCCTGAACCACCTTGTGCTGTTTTGTTCTTTTAGTCATGTATGTTATGTTTGTATTTGTCGTAACTTTGACAGTATAGTGTTACTGTTTTTGCTTTAAAAAGTCTTTTGAAGAAATTAGAAGGAAATATTTTTAAAATTATACATATTTAAATCCTTTATATTTACCCAAATAGTTAAAAATTTTTCTGTTGTCTTGTAGATTTGAGTTATCATCTGGTATTATTTGTTCAGCAGGAAAAACTTTCTTTAGTATTTCTTATAGATCAGTTCTGTTGGTAACTTTTTTTGTTTATCTGGAAATGTTTTCATTTTCCCATTATTAAAGTTTCACTGAATGTAGAATTCTTGGTTGACAGGTTGCTTTCTTTTAGTATTTTGACTGTGTGTCATTCCAGTATTTCCTGACCTCAGTTTTTTTTTTTGTGTGTGTGTGTGTGTGTTGAAAATTCAGCCAACAGTACTGTTATTCTTTGATACATGATGTGTCATTTTTTTCCTGCTGCTTTGAACATTTTTCTTTTTGCCTTTATTTTTCAGCAGTTTAATTCTGATTTGGCTGGTTGTATTGGTATCCTTCCTGTGGTCTGTTGAGCTTCTTCTATGTGCAAACTAATGTTTTCCACCGAATTTGGTAATTTTAAAGACATTTCTCCAGATTTCTTTTGGCTCTCCCCCCCACCCCTTTCTAAACTCCAATTACACGTATACTGGAATGCCTAACTGCTCCACAGATCTTGAGATTCTATTTTTTAAATAATTTTTCTTTTTGTTCTTTGGGCTGAATAATTTCTAGTGATATTTCTTCAAGTTTACTGATTCTGATTTTGCCTTCTGCTATCTCAAATCCACTAATGAGCCCATCTGGTGAAATCTTCATTTCAACTTTAGAATTTTCATTTGGTTCTTTTATTTTTTAATTTACATAAAATAAATGTTACTCTTTCTTTACATTTTGAAAAAGGCATAGAGTAAGTTAATTGCCACCACAATCATGATACAGAAAAGTTCCATTACTCTCAAAAATTCTTCTTCCTGCCTCTTATAGTCAAACTGGTTCTTTTATATTCTTCTTTCCTCTTTTGAAATTGTCAGTTTATTCACTTGTTCCTTAGAATATTTTCCCTTAGTTTTTTGAATATGTTTATAATAGCTTCTTTAAAGTCTTTGCTAAATTCAACATTTGCACCCATTTGGAGTCAGTTTCTATTGACTGATTTTGTTCCTTAGTGTAGGTCACATTTTTTTCCTTATATGTGTAGTAATTTTTGGTTGAAAACTCTACATTGTAGACAGTACGTTATAGCGTCTTTGGATCCTTTTGTTCCTTCTGAGAGTTTTTGTTTTAGAGGCACTTGCTTGGGCTTAAACTGTGACATCTTTCTGTCCTGTGGAGTGTCATCACTAATATCTCTGCTTAGTTTTGTTTGTTTGATTAAGCCTGGCTATAGATGTGAACTAATGATTTGGACAGGTTTATTAGACACCTAAAGCCAGTATGACTTTTACTCTTTGCCACCTGGATTGTGCATGTCTCAGAACACTTTAAAAGCATAGGAAATCTGCAAGTTTCCCCAGCCTTTCAATCACTGCCGGGCTCACTAGGGTCTCTTTTCACAAATATTTTAGCAGTCAGGTAGGAATGTATGGCAAGTTCATTATCTCAACCTTTCTATGATTCTTTTGCGTACAAATTCTCCTTGTTAAATTCCTAGCTGCTCTACTATCAGCATAAAACTGTATCCTGTGGATTTGTGTTATCTCTCAATGCCCCATAAATTAGGGGTGCAAGACAGGAAAACCTTAGGAAAGAATGCCACAAACTCCCCATTCTTATCTTACCTAATGAAGTAGAAGTTTTTGACAAGTAAACACTTTTCACCTTGTGGCCTGCGTTTGGTAGTTTTCCAGTGCCCTGAATTGGTTGTTTTTAAAATTATTTTATTCAGTTTTATACTTGTTTTCTGAGGAGGGGAAGTCCATGACTACCTCATGCCACCATTATCAGAAGTAAAGTCCATCTTTAGTTACTCACCCAATAAATTTACATGTTTTGTTGTGTTTTAAATGGGCTGTTGCCCGCCCAGTTCTCTGTCTTCATGGACCATCCTGGATCATCCATTTGTTTCACCTCTTCTGTCCTCTACTCAATCTTTGTATCTGTTTGATTTTATCTCTACAATTTTATTCTTTCAGACAGGGAGACTAGACTTGACACACATCAATTGGATACACTTGGAGATGTTTACTTTCATAAGGACATACTGGAAAGTGTCACAAGGGATCATTCATTGTACTCCATTTTAAAGGTCTGGCAAGGCGACCAGCTGGAGAGAGATCAGGAAAATCAAGACAGACTTCTCAGGCAAGTCACAATCATCAACAACAAAACAGTTATTGAAGAGTCAAACTATACATATAATGCATTTGGAAAAATATTTCATAACTGCACAGACCTAGATACTTCAAGACAAAGACTGTATAAGTGTGATTCATTTGAAAAGAGCTTGGAACCTACTGTAAACCTGTTCAGTTGTAATAGGGGTTATGCAAGAAAAAACACAGATGAGAATTTTGGATGTGGGAGAACACCTAGTTCTTCCTATTCTAAGCATGAAAAAATTCATAATAGAGTGAAACACTGTGCAGGTAGTCAGTATGGAAAAATCATCAGCGATAAACAATCTCTTATTCAATATGTGAATGTTGAAACTGGGGAGAAGATCTGTGTATGTATTGAATGTGGAAAATCTTTTCTCAAGAAGTCACAGCTCATTATACATCAAAGAATTCATACTGGAGAGAAACCTTATGGTTGTAGTGCTTGTGGGAAAGCCTTCAGTGAGAAATCACATCTCATCGTACATCAGAGGACACATACCGGGGAGAAACCTTACGAATGTTCTGAATGTGGAAAAGCCTTCTCTCAAAAATCATCCCTCATTATCCATCAGAGAGTTCATTCTGGTGAAAAACCATATGAATGTAGTGACTGTGGGAAAGCCTTCTCCCAGAAATCACCCCTCATTATACATCAGAGAATACATACTGGTGAAAAGCCATATAAATGTAATCAGTGTAGGAAGGCCTTCTCCCAGAAGTCACAACTGATTATACATCATAGAGCTCATACTGGAGAGAAGCCCTATGAGTGTACTGAATGTGGAAAAGCCTTCTGTGAGAAGTCCCACCTCATCATACATAAAAGGATTCACACAGGGGAGAAACCCTACAAATGTGCTCAGTGTGAGGAAGCCTTCAGCAGAAAGTCAGAACTCATTATACATCAGATAATTCATACTGGGGAGAAACCTTACGAATGTACTGCATGTGGGAAGACCTTCTCCCGGAAGTCACAGCTCATTATACATCAGAGAACGCATACTGGAGAAAAGCCCTATAAATGCAGTGAATGTGGAAAAGCCTTCTGTCAGCAGTCACATCTCATTGGACATCAGAGGATTCACACAGGAGAAAAACCTTATGTTTGTACTGAATGTGGGAAAGCTTTCTCTCAAAAGTCTCACCTCCCAGGACATCAGCGGATTCATACAGGAGAGAAACCTTTTATATGTGTTGAATGTGGAAAAGCCTTTTCCCAGAAGTCAGACCTTGTTGTACATCAGAGAATTCATACTGGGGAGAAACCTTATCAATGTGCTGTATGTGGAAAAGCCTTCATCCAGAAATCACAACTCACTGTACATCAGAGAATTCATATAGTGGTGAAATCATAAGAATGGACTAAGCATAGAAAAGCCTTCAGTATCTGTTCAAGCCTTAATAAGTACAACAAAACTCACAGATTTAATGTGTTTCTAGGCATCTTTGTTGGTACTATTTTACAAATGGAATCCTATTTCTAATGTAATTAATTTTTTTATCAAAGATAATACAAGAGAAAAAAGTTTTGTTTATATAAATTTTCACTTTGGCATGTTAAACTTTTAAGATTTGGAACTGAATGATTAGCATAACAGAACAAATTACATATAGTCTATTTTGAAGTTACATGTTCCTGATTATACTACATAATAAGTTAGGCATGTGGTAATATTGTTAATGTTAGCCTCTCGTAATTGCGGCCATGCAGTAATTCCCCAAAGAGGACATGAAGAAAGCATGAGTCAAAAAGTGCCAAGACCTAGAAACTGCACTAAGGGGAGGGGACTTGACCATCAGACCCTAAAAGTATATGTAAAATTCTTCTTATACAATGATGGAAAGATGGGTTGAAAAGGTTCAATAAATGTGGTCTTTTTTTTTAAATTTTGATAATATAAGTTGATTTGTGTCTGTGGATGGACCCAGGACCTTGGAATTGACACTGCTTGCTCATTTCTCCCTTTTACCCTGCCCTTCTAGGAGCTTGGTGTGGTGGAAAGACATTGGTTCTAAAGTCAGATGGCCATGAGTTTTAACCCTTGTTCCCTTATTAATAGATTGTGTGACATCTATGAAGACCTTTTTAACCCTCAGTGTCTGTTTGCTCATCTGTATGTGAAATCCTGGCAGACAGCACATGTTTTTTTTTTTTAGTTACTTCTGATATATATTTTAAAGTAATAACTAGAATTATGACTTATAACATTATACCAGAACATATAAGATTTTTAGAAATTTCATGTAATGTCTGAAACATTTATATTAACATATTTACATACAAATAACCCAAAGAAAGTTTAATATTAGTTTTTTTTGTTTTTTTATACTGCAGGTTCTTATTAGACATCAATTTTATACACATCAGTGTATACATGTCAATCCCAATCGCCCAATGCAGCACACCACCATCCCCACCCCACCACGGTTTTCCGCCCTTGGTTTCCATACATTTGTTCTCTAAATCTGCAGACAGCACATTCTTAGCTAATATTTGTCCTGTTTATCCCTCTCTTCTCTTGAAATAGGCTACTAATTCCAGTGTGCACACATTTAAATTTGATTTGCATTTAAGACACACTGCTTCTGATCTCAGATTTCCTGTCCTCTCCTTTGTCCATTTCACTGCCTTTGTGTCTGGTGATATAACTCATGCTATGTTAAAGAGACCTCAATTACTTTTCATTTATTTTATTTTGCAAACACATATAAATTGTGATATATCTATATCTGTATCTAGTTCATTCTAATATATATATGGAAATACTAAGGGACAAGAATAGGCAAGTCACTCATTAAGAACAAATGTTAGAGAATTGATCAGACTAAGGTTTCCCACAAAGCTGTAGTAATGTAGGCAATACAGTATTGACACAAGAGTGACAAAAATAGATGAATGAAATGAGAGCCTGAAAATGAAAAAATTATATATGAGTAACTTTATGACAAAAGTGGTATTGTAATCAGAAGGGGAAAAATTATCTTTTTAATAAATTGTTCTGGGTCAATTAATCTAAATATAAATAGGAAATGCAAAATGACAAAGTTTCCACGTAGTTATATAGGAGACTTTTCATAGCCTTAGGATAGGGAAAAATGTTTAACACTGTGCATGAAGAAAAGATTGATAAAATGGCTTATATTAATATTAAAATTTCTTCTGTGTTAAAAGAAGTGATTAGTTTGGAATAAACTTGGATGTATCTAGCAAAATTACATATGCAATTTCTAAACATTTTTAGGAATCTTCTAAAGATATGTTGGAGAAATATTAAGAGATGCATGCTTGGGATTTCCTTGGCAGCCCCGTGGTTAAGACTTCGCCTTCCAATGCAGGGGTGCAGCTTCGATCCTTGGTTGGGGAGCTAAGATCTCACATGTCTCAGGGCCAAAAAACCCAAAACATAAAACAGAAGCAATATTGTAACAAATTCAATAAAGACTTTAAAAATAGTCCACATCAAAAAAAATCTTAAAAAAAAAGAGGTGCATACTTATGTTTATTCATCATAGTACTATTCACAGCAGAAAAAAGATGGTAAACAGCCTGAATGATTATTGATAGAAAATGTTTAAATATAGTGTATCTGCACACTGGGGACTGTGCAACTCTAAAAAGGAATGAGATATGTCTTTTTATACTCTCCATTCATGTTCTTAAATAAAACAAGGCACAGAGAATTACAGTACACTGTCTTCTAAGAAAGACAGGTAGTGGTGGGAACAAGTGGGCATATTTTCTTATATATAAGTACAGATGCTGAAAGGAAAGACCCAAATATTAATTAAAATGTTTTGTTCTAAGGTGACTGAACATGGTGGAAAGGATAGTGATATCCCTTAGACCTCTCATGAATGTAACTTGGTTTTGTATAATTGACTTTGAAACCATGTAAATAGTATAAATAGTAACAAAACAAAGTCAAAATGAAGTGACACCTAAAAATTTAGCAAAATGAAACTAAACATGTATAGCATTGGTGGTTAACCATACCGAGAACTAATTTCAAGTAACTTTAAACTGTTTGTCTGTTTTTCCTGGTGGGATATATCATAAGGATAAAGGAATGGCAAAGAAGGTTTTTTTCAGTAAGTGTTCTGTTACTCATAATACTGGTATTGATAATAATATTGGATACATATACAGAGAGAAGAAAAAAAATGAAGGAATGGATCAAATAAATACAGTAGTCCCCCCTTATCTATCTGTGGTTTCGCTTTCTGTGTTTTCAGTTACCTGTTGTCAACCTCCATCTAAAAATATTAAATGGAAAATTCTGTAAATACTTCGTAAATTGCACATCATACTGAGTAGTGTGAAGAAGTCTTTTACTGTCCCACTCCCTGGGACATAAATCATCCCTTTGTCCAGTGTATCCTGTCTGTGAAGTCACTTAGTAGTAATTTCGTTTATCAGATCAACTGTCATGGTATCACAGTGCTTGTGTTCAAGTAACACTTATTTTACTTAGTAATGGCCATGAAGCACAATAGTAGTGATGCTGGCAATTAAGATATGCCAAAGAGAGGCTGTGAAATGTTTTCTTAAAGTGAAAAGGTAAAAGTTTTTGACTTAGTAAGGAAAGAAAAAAATTGTATGCTGAGATTGCTAAGACCTATGGTAAGAACAAATCTGTGAAATTATGAAGATGGAAAAATAATTCATGCTGGTTTTGCTGTCACACCTCAGACTTCAAAAGTTATGGCCACAGTGCATGAGAAGTGCTTAAGTTAAGATGGAAAAGGCATTAAATTTGTACAAGAAGATATTTTGAGAGAGAGGCCACATTCAGATAACTTTTATTACAGTATATTGTTATAATTGTTTAATTTTTATTTATTGTCTCTTATTGTGCCTAATTTGTAAATTAAACTTTATCATAGGATGTATGTATAGGAAAAAACATAGCTCAATTTCAGGCATCCACTGCAGGTCTTGAAACATCCCCTGTGGTCAAGGGAGAACTACTGTAGTTATGAATGTCTTTAGGAACCAAAGATTTCAGGTGTATGATAAAAAATTACATACCAAAGATGTTAAGTAAAAACCTTATAATCCTAAATTTGTTTTTCTCCCTAGAGTTATTGAGATATAGTTGACATAGCATTATGTAAGTTTAAGGTGTACAAAGTGATAATTTGATACATGCAATATATATTTATAATGTGACATTTACCACAATATGGTTAGTCAACACCTTCATCACCTCACATAGTTATCATTTTATTTTTGTGGTGAGATCATTTAAGATTTACCCTCAGCAACTTTCAAGTATATGATACAGTATTGTTAGCTGTAGTCACCATACTATACATTATATCCCCAGAATTTATTTATTATATAACTGGAAGTGTGTACCATTTGACCAGCATCTCATCTTCCCTGGCAGCCACCAAACTACTCTCAATTTCTATGAGTTTAGCATTTCCATATTTTATATATGTGGGGTCATTGAGTATTTATATTTCTCTATCTGACTTTACTTACCATAATGCCCTCAGGGTCCATCCATGTTGTCACAAACGGCAGGATTTCCTTTTTTTCCCCAGTTTAGTTGAGATATAACTGACATATAACAAACATTGTATAAGTTTAAGGTATACAGCATAATGATATGCATATATTGTGAAATGATTGCCACTGTAAATTTAGCTAACATCCATCACTTCATATAGCTACAGGTTTTTTTCCTGTGCTAAGAACTTTCAAGATTTACTCTGTTAGCAACTTGCAAACATATGATGCAGTATTGTTAACTATAGCCACCGTGCTGTACAGGAATTCCTTCATTTTTTATAGCTGAATTTTATGTATGACTGTATATATATATATATAGTCATATGTAGTTTTTAAAAATAAATTTATTTATTTATTTATTTTTGGCTGCATTGGGTCTTGGTGGCTGTGCACGGGCTTTCTCTAGTTGCGGTGAGCAGGGGCTACTCTTTGTTGTGGTGCAGGGGCTTCCTTGTTGCAGTGGCTTTTCTTGTTGCGGTGGCTTCTCTTGTGTAGCACAGGCTCTAGGCACACGGGCTCAGTACTCGTGGCTTGTGGGCTCTAGAGCGCAGGCTCAATAGTTGTGGCGCATGGGCTTAGTTGCTCCGCGGCATGTGGGATCTTCCTGGACCAGGGCTTGAACCCGTGTCCCCTGCATTGGCAGGCAGATTCACCACTGTGCCACCAGGGAAGTCCTGTCATGTAGTTATAAAAATGACTATTGTGATTAATGCTGCAGTGAACATGGGGGTGTAGGTATCTCTTCAAGTAGTGATTTCACTTCCTTTTGATATATATGCCCACAAGCAGGACTTTTTTAGAAACCTCCATATGTTTTCCATAATA